GTGGCCTGGCAGAGGCTGCTCCACAGGGGCTCCGGCCTCCTCCGTCGCCCCTCGGCAGGGGGAGCCTTCCTTCTTCCACACCGCTTCCCTGGTCCTCGACTTATGACCACAAGGGACTCCATTGCCAAGCCAGGCCGTTGTTAAGGTGAGTTGTGCCCCCCCTGACAATTCCGCTCAGGACTTCCCTCACTTTTCTTACAATCTTTCTTGCTGCAGTTGTTAAGCAAACGGTGTGGTCATTAAGCGAACCCTCCTCCCACCCCCCCCCCCCCATTGACTTTGCTTGTCCTTGGAAAAGAGGATGCCGCAAACCGTCATAAGTCCGTGCCGGTCGCCAAGCAGCTGAATTTGGATCACGTGACCCACAGGGGCAGCTGCCAACGGTCGCAAGTGTGAAAACCGGCCATAAGTGAGTTTCATCAGCGTCATCGTTAAGTTCAGTCGCTCAATGAGTGGTTGTAAGTCAAGGACTGCCTTTCCTGGCTGCAGAGGAGCGAAGCCCCCTCCGTGCCCAGCACCATCCAGGGCCCTGCGTTGCTTTGCCCTGTGGTGGAGAGGAGGAACTTGGGTGGCATTTCCGGGACGAAGGGAAACGTGTCCCGTCCCCCCCAGCAGCCTTTTGGGGTCCCCTCAATGGCCGCCACTAAGCGTGTTGGTCTCTTCTTCCTCAAAGAGAGAGGTTTCCTGGGGAGCCAATTTGGGCCCCAACTCTATTTTCGGTCTCGGGGTCTCACGGGTAACTGTGAGTCCGAGGGGACGATCCCTTAAACAGGAGCCAGCCTTGTGCAGCAGCCGCAGCCGCTGCAGCCAAGGAGGCCAATGCGACCCTCGGTGGCATCAAGAGAATCGAGATCAGGTGGAATGTTGATACCACTTCGCAAGGCCGGGTAAGGCCTCACCTGGAATCCTGCATCCCGTTTGGGCTGCCATGATATGAAAAAAAGGTGTTGAGACTCTAGAAAAAGGGCAGAGAAGAGCAACCAGGAGGATGAGGGGACTGGAGGCTGAAACATATAATGAACGGTTGCAGGAACTGGGCCTGGTTAGTCTAGGGAGGAGAAGGACCAGGGGAGGCAGGAGAGCATCTTCCAATATTTGAGGGAGGGGCTGCCCCAGAGAGGAGGAGGAAGAAGGGGTCAAGCTATTCTCCAAGGCACCCGAAGGCCAGACACGGAATAATGGAAGGAAACTGCCCAAGGAGAGATTCAGCCTGGAAATAAGGAGGAATTTTCTGACAGAACAAAGAACCAAATGGAACAGAAGTTGCCTTCAGAAGTTGTAGGAGCTTCATCCCTGGAGGCTTTCAAGAAGAGACTGGACTGCCATCTGTCAGAAATGGTGCAGGCTCTCCTGCCTGCGCAGGGGGGTTGGACTAGATGATCTACAAGATCCCTTCCAACTCAGTTATCCTGTTATTATTCTGTTATTCAGAAGTTGTAGGAGCTTCATCCCTGGAGGCTTTCAAGAAGAGACTGGACTGCCATCGGTCAGAAATGGTGTAGGGTCTCCTGCTTGGGCAGGGGGTTGGGCTACAAGGTCCCTTCCTATTCTGTTATTCTATTCTAAATATAAAGAACGGTTGCAGGAACTGGGCCTGGCTGGTCTAGGGAAGAGAAGGACCAGTGGGGACAGGAGAGCATCTTCCAATATTGGAGGGGCTGCCCCAGAGAGGAGGAGGAAGGGGTCAAGCTGTTTTCCAAGGCCCCCAAAGGCCAGACAAGGAATAATGGATGGAAACTGACCCAGGAGAGATTCAACCTGGAAATAAGGAGAAACTTTCTGACAGGGGGGACAATTAACCAGTGGAACCACTGGCCTCCAGAAGTTGTAGATGCTCCAACACTGGAAGTTTTGAAGGAGAGATTGGATCACCATTTGTCTGAAGTGGTGTAGGGTCTCCTGCCTAAGCAAGAGGTTGGACTAGAAGACCTCCAAGGTCCCTTCCAACCAGTGATGGGATTGAAATTGTTTTACTACTGGTTCTGTGGGCGTGGCAGGGGAAGGAGACTGTAAAATCTCCAGTCAGAGGTGGGATTGGCCGGTTCTCCGAACTGCTCAAAATTTCCGCTTCCCGTTCTCCAGAACTGGTCAGAACCGGCTGAATTCGCCACCTCTGCTTCTTCTGACGTGTGGTGGTCGAGGGACACGGACGCACCGCTTCCTTGGTGTGCGGATTCTGAAATGCAGGAACCGCCGTCTGTTCGGCGTTTTTGGTCAGCCTGGAGAAAGGATGGCTGGTGGGGGGGGAACCAAATAGGGATGGGCTTAACACCCCCCTCCCCCCCCCCCCGCAATCCTGCTGTTTTACAAGGGGAAAAGGAGGGGCGGGGCGGGGCGGGGCGACAGAAGCTAGTAGGTTCTGTATGGGGTGCCTGGGAACTCTGCAGCGCCCCCTCCTGGGGAAAGTGGGTTGGGCAGCGGGAGAGGCCCGGTTTTCACCTTCTTCATCCCAGCATCATGCAATCACTCTGAAGTTTCCTAAAATAGCCTTGACAACCATTTAACTGGGATGGGAGGAGAGCTTCTGCCTTGAGCAGGGGGTTGGACTGGATGACCTCCCAGGTCCCAGCCCTAGGATTCTATGACTTAGGGAGGGAGGGAGGGGAAAGGAGAGTGGAAGGAGGGAGGGAGGGAAGAGGAAGGGAAGGAAGGGGAAGGAAGGAAGGAAGGAAGGAAGAAGGAAGGAGGAAGGAAGGAGGAATGAGGGAGGGAGGGAGGAAGGGAGGAAGTAAAGAAGGAAGGAAGGGAGGAAGGAAGGAAGTAAAGAAGGAAGGAAGGAAGGAAGGAAGGAGGGAGGGAGGAAGGAAGGAAGGAAGGAAGGAAGGAAGGAAAGGCAATGGGTAAAAGAAATAAATCCAAGCTGGAACTAAGGAGTGATTTTCTGGCCATGAGAACAATTAATTGCTTGCCTGATGAATAATTAAAAATTAATCAGTGGAGGGTTGTGAGGGTCCCATCCCTGGAGGTTTTTAAGAGATTAGACAGTCATTTGCCTGGGAAGGTATAAAGTCTCCTCCTTGGGCAGGGGGCTGGACTAGATGCCCTTCAAGGTCCCCTAGGGTTCTGTTCTTTGAAGGCCTTTGGAGGAACTGAATGCTGGGGCTCGTCCTGCACCCCCAAACCCTTTGGGATCTTCTAACGGGCAGCAGGGCATCCGAAGGTGCCCTGGGGGAGCCCCTCCCCCCTCCCCATGCCGCACAAGGGCTGCCTGGACCTGCCCGGGGGGGGCGGGGGGGGATTGGGTGCGCGATCCAGCCGAAGGCATCCATGTTCGCTGGCTGTTCAGTTGGGTTTGGCACAGGGGTCCCCAAACTGGACCACTTCGAGACTGGTGGACTTCCACTCCCAGAATTCTCCAGCCAGCATAGCATGGGGATCTTGGAGGTCAACTAGTCCAACCCCCTGCTCGAGCAGGAGATCCTGTGCCAGGAGTTGGAAGTCCACCAGTCTTTGAAAGCAAACTTTATTGAATGTACAATTAAAATAAATGAACAAACATAGAAAACACAACGTAGAAAAACAACGACGACGAATAAAGGGCAATTCCATTATTGACAGTTTGTGGTTCCTTATGTTATTGGTGTCATACTGACAATTAAATCTTAATGCGAGTAAATAGTTACTACCGTTGTAGGTTAATCTCCTTTACAGTTGAATAATGTTTACTATCCGGGGTGGCGAATTCAGCCGGTTCTGACCAGTTCTGGAGAACCGGAAGCAGAAATTTTGAGTAGTTCGGAGACCCGGCCAATCCCACCTCTGCCTGGAGATTTTATAGTCTCCTTCCTCTGCCACGCCCACCAAGCCACGCCCACAGAACCAGTAGTAAAAAAAATTGAATCCCACCACTGTTTACTATTATATTATCTATTTTTGTTCTATCCAACGTTCCCACCTTTTGTAATATTGGAAGTCCCACCAGTCTTAAAGTGGCCCAGTTTGGGGATCCCTGTTTTAGCCTAGTTCTGGGCTACAACTAAGCCGGTGACATCAGCAGGGCGCATCTTTGGGCTGGTGGACTTCAGTTCCCAGAATCCCTCAGCCAGGGGAATGCTGGGAGTTGGAGTCCAGCGGTCTTAAAAGCGGCCCCCTCTGGGCTAAATGAATCACACAGAGTCGGGCTACCCGTGGATTATTTGCCGGGGTGACTTTGCGCTCGCCGAGCTCCACCAGAAAAGTGGGAAGGACTGCGAGCCCAGCAGAGTTGAGGTGCAGAGTCAGGGCTGGGGTGGGGGTGGGGGTCCCCAAACGTGGCCACTTTAAGACTTGTGGACTTCAACTCCCAGCATTCTCCAGCTGAGAATGCTGGGAGTTGAAGTCCACAAGTTTTAAAGTGGCCAAGTTTGCTCTAGTGACAGACAGGGGGGCCCAGGGTGCAGAACAGCCCCCCCGCCCATGTCAAAGCGGAGCCAGCAAGACTCCCTTCACCCCCCATTGGGGAAGGGGGGGGATCTGAAAGGATCTGGGGGTGCAAAGAGCAATTCTCTTTCCTGAATAGGGGGCGATTTCCTTCCCCAGCACGTGTCCCCAACCTCCGTCGGAGCAGAGGGAAGGAAAAGGCCCGTTGTGTCCTCCTGGGCCACCGCGGTCCTCGACTGGCAACGGTTCATTTAGTGACCATTCAAAGTTACAACTGAGGAAAGGGATTTGGGGCCATTGTTCCCACTTTCGATCCTGTGGTCACGCAATCGAATTTCACACAGTTGTCAACGGACTCAGATTTACAACGGTCGCAGTTCCTTGGGGGTCATGCGATCCCCTTTTTTGCGACCTTCCGGCAAGCAAACTCAACGGGGGAAGCCGGATTTGCTTAACAACGGAGTTCCTAACCGAACAACCGCAGGGACTCACTTAACAACGGTGGCAAGAATGGTTGTGAAAGGGGGCGGAGTTCACTGAGCAAAGGCCTGGCTTGGCAATGGAAACGGCGGTCGTTCAGCCGAGGACCTGCCTGTGTTTTCAATGCCCCCCCCCCGCCCCCACAAAGGCCCACAAAGTACCCAGGAAGGAGGCGTGGCTGAAAATGGGTTTATTTGACCGACTTCCGGTCTCCTTGTGTCCGGACGGGAGCCCAGGGGCCGGCCCTGGCGGGAGATGTTGCAGTCCAGCTGAGAGGGAAGCGTCAGGCCGGGGGCCGGGCAGGCAGCTGCGTCCAGAGGTTGGGGGCGTGGCCGGCAGGAGCAGGACTGGGGCGGGCACAGAGGTGCCCTGCGGAAGCTGCTCTACCCGTGGTGGGCATAGGGGCAGCCCCCCCCGAGCCTTGTGCCAGGCCGCCCCCAGCGCTGCTTAGGCAGAAAATCAAGTCTCGCTGGCTGGCAACACGGCAGGCTGGGCGTCCTTCGGGGGCAAGGGAGGCTGGTGCCCAGAGGACCCGTGCCCATCCTCAAGGGCCGGGCCGGTCTGAGCTACGTTGTGCCCCCCCCCAGAGCGAGGCCACCGGATGCCCAAGAAACCAGCTCAGGGCCGGGCAAGCTGCTCCGAGTTCAGGTCACCCTCTTCCCTCCCCCCCGCCCCCGTCAGCATCGGGTGGCGTTGACGTGGGCCCAGGCTGGAAACTGGCGCAAGTTGAACATGGGTACACCCCAGGTGTTGATGGCCAGCATGATGGTCAGCACGCCCAGGATGTTGAGCATAAACCCGGCTTTGACCTGGGAGGGCAGAAACAAAACCCAGCCGCGTCAGAACCTGGCAGCGAAGGGCCCGCAGAGCCTCCCTATCCAAGGGCGGTCTACCCCGGGGCTGTTTGGTGGTGGAAAGGAGGCAGCTCCTCCAGCCCACAAGCAGGGCGGGAAAAGTCCCTTCGGCGCCTGATGTTCAGGGAGAAGCTGCCGGTCACTGGAGGCTCCGCGTTGTTGCGGCCATGGACGAGGAAGCGGCACCAGGAAGGTTTCTGGCTTCCAAGCCCGGCGAAGTGGGCCTTGCCTGAGGGTGGGGTGGTGGGCTCTGTTTCTGCCGGGCCAGGAAAGAACCCCAATTTCCCTACCCCCACCCACAAAGGGACGGGGCTCACCATGTCGATGACGCGGAGGTTGCCGTAGGAGAAGACGATGGCGTTGGGCGGCGTTGCCACCGGCAGCATGAAGGCCAGAGAGGCGGCCAGGGTGCAGGGCAGCATCACGTAGAGGGGGTTCAGCTCAATGGCCTGGGCCTGCGGGGGGGGGGGGCAGGGGGGGTCTCAGCACGGGGGGAGGGGGTGCCCGAGTGGCCTGGAAGCCTCCCCTCCCCCTCCTTCTTTCCCTCCCTCTTTCCTTCCTTACTCCCGCCTTCCCAAATGCTACGTCCTTCCTACGTTCTCCTCACCTTCCTCCCTTTCCTTTCCTTTCCTCCCCCTCCACCCTTCCATTCCCCCTAATCTTCCTTTCCTTTTTCCTTTCTTTTCCCTTCCCTCCCTTCTTTTTAATCCAGGGGTCCCCACTGGGAGAGGAAGCCTCCAAGGTCCCAAGTGCGAAGAGCTCTCTTTTCAGGTGACATCCTTCCTACATCTTCCCTCCTTCCCTGGGAATCCTTGGGGGCAGCCGGGGAGGCTCTGGCCAAGCCAGGCGAGGGGGGGGTCGTGCCAGCCCCCTCCCCGCTCTCACCATGGATGCCAGGATGGGCAGGAAGAGGGTGGTGGTGGCCACGTTGCTGGTGCACTCGGTGAAGACGGCCACCAGCAGGCAGAGCAGGAAGGTGATGGCCGGGTGGGGGATGTTCTGCAGCGGCGTCAGCTTGTTCCCCAACCAGCTGGACAGGCCGGAGACCTGAAAAGGACCCCGGAGGAGCGGAAAAAGCGCCTGAAGTTGGTCCTCCCCCCCCCAGCGCTCCCCCTCCAGAACGGGCCCCGGAGGCACCCCGGCATGCTTGCCATGCGCTCCGGGCAGAGGCGGTGCCAGCGCGCCCCCTGCTCCCGCTGATGCCACCCCCGGGCAGCCCGGACTTCCCCACACACGGGGACCCCGACCCTTGCCCCCTGCGGGGACGGGGGGCGCCCCCTGGGGGCGGGAAAGGGCTCCTCCGGATGGCCAGCAGCCCCCCCCCCTGCCCAACTGAGCTCGGGGCAGCTCCTCACCTCGCTGCCTTTGGCCAAGGCGAAGCCCCCGCCCAGGAGGATGACGATGTTCCAGGGCATTTGCCGGTTGACGGTGGTCCAGTCCAGGAGGGCGGGGGGCGCGCGGATCTGGCCCGGGCTGCCTGCAAGAGAAGCGGGGAGGAAGCCCCTCAGCTCCGGCCATTCACTCCACCCTCCCTTGAAACCAGTTTCCCCTTGACCCCTCCCCCCCATCTGGTGGTGCTTTGTTAACTTGAGGGGGGGTCTTCCTCTCAAGGTGAAACCAGTCCCCCCACTTCGCCTCCCCTCCCAATTTCCTAAGGGGCAGAAAAAACTGGGTTGATTTGACCAGAAGTGGCCTCATCTTTTGGATGGGGGGGGGGGAATATCAGGGGTCTCCACCCTGGGCCACTTTATGGCTGGTGGGCTTCACCTCCCAGGATTCCTCAGACCACAAAAGTGGAGTTGAAGTCCCCACAGTCTGAAAGGGGCCCAGGTCGGAGACCCCTTCACAATAAAACCACGTGGCTTCTTCCAAACTCCAAATGCCCTTGTTGAAGTTTTCTCCTCTCTCTGCCCCCCCCCCCCCCCCAATTTATTCTTGGTTAGGGCAAGTTTTAGATGGGCAGCTGGGGAAGGCAGGAGAGACCCCCCCCATCCTCCCTCCTTGGCTCCAAGGTCAGTGAATCTGGACCCCTGAAACGCTCCCTCCACGGCCAGAAAAGAATCGGGGCAGAGGTGGAAGGAGGAAGAGGTGGTTCCACCCGATCCCTTCTGATCTCGGGGCTCCTGAGTGAGCTGCCAGCCGAGTGGAGGCCCTCCAGACCCCTCGCTTGAACCTTCCCAGGAGGGGTCTGCCAGGAGGGCCACCCCCCCCGGGCTTCTCCCTCTGCCAGCCTGGACCCTCTCCGCTTACCTTCCTGCTGGGCCCCGGAAGAACACCTGGGCAATTCGGAGGGGATTAAGAACATCAGGAGGGCGATGAAGATGACCACGGTGGCGTCCGTGATGTGGCTGTAAGACAGAGTCCAGTGTCACTCAGCCCCCCCACCCCCACCCCCCGGCTGAGACCGGGTTGGAGGGAGAGGCCTGAAAAGGGGAGGGGCCTTTGGCTGCCTCAAACACAGCTCCGTTACGTTTCATTACGGTGAAATGAAGGATATTATGAAGCAGACATTGTAAAAATAGAGGTTTGCTTGGAAAGGATGATATGAACTTACAATCAAAGGCTAATAATGGTGTGATAACAATATAATATGGATAGCTGATTTACATCACATGAACTTTAATTCAAGTTTAGAAGGGAAAGACTAATATGAATATCGTGAACAAGAGATCTGTACCAACCGACACAAGGTACAATGGACAGATGGTTTTATTAGATGGTTTGTATTTGTGTTTTGTCTGTTTGTTGTCAAAATAAAAATAATATTTATAAAAAAAAACACAGCTCGGGGGGTGAGGGGTGGAGGCAACGGGAGGACCCAAAGCAGTGGTGGGATTTTTTTTAAAATAGACTTTATTGATCTTTTATAGCTTTCAAAAAAACCCAAAAATAAATAAAACAAGTAAAAAGTAAAAATCTCTTAAATTCAACAATTAATTCAACAAACTGTGGCAATTTTCTTATACTGCTATTTTGTGTGTTGTTTACAAATATATACAATTTATGCAACTATAAACATTTAACTTATGTATTGTTTATCCTTAATTCATCAACCTTTTAACTATCTTTGTTCGATCCGGTCATACCATCGTTCCCAAATTTTATAGTATTCAGTCTCCTCTTTCTCTTTTAACATCAACATTAGTTTGTCCATCTCAGCACTTGTCACTGTTTTTTCAATAATAAACAATTCATCTGAAGCTATAGGTGGGTGTTTCCAGCATTGGGCCAAAGCAATTCTAGCTGCCGTCAGAATATGTAATATTATATATTTTATATTTCTCCCATATTTTTTCTTAAATATCCCCAATAAAAATAATTCCGGTTCCGCTTCTATTTGTGTTTTAGTAATCTCTTGCAACCATTTTTTGATTTTTAGCCAATATTTTGGGGTCTCTGGGCAAGACCACCAGCAGTGGTGGGATTCTACCAGTCTCCCTAACCAGCTGGGTGATCGTGCACTTTCTGGGCGCGCATGCAGCTTTCCAAATGCCTGCTGAGGCTCTGCCGAGCCAATCAGCTGATCGTTGGTAGCATTTTTGGCAACCAGTTCAGGCGAACCAGGGCGAACCGGTTGCACCACAGACCCAAAGGCAGCTTATCCAGAGCTCCAAGACCTCCACCCTGAGACAGGCACCCTCCTCCTCACCTCTTTGCCCTCTGGCTGAAGAGTGCGTTGGCCCATCCGGGCATGAAGCCAGGCTCCCGTGTGAACCAAAGGACCACCAGGGCGATGAAGAGGATGAGGACAGCCGCCTCGGAGAACTTCATCCGGCCCAACGCCCGGTACTCGCTCTTGATGATGCTGTAGGCCTGCTCGGATTTCCGCTTCTCCTCCTTGCTGGTGCCGCAGCCGAAATTCTTCTTGAAGCTGTGAGGTCAGAGGGGAAAGGATGTGGGGGGGGGCAGCCGGCAGAGAGGATTCTCCACCCCCCTGGAGAGGGTCAACCGGGCAGGAGGTCTCTCTGGACCAGGGGTCTCCAGCCTTGGCCACTTTCAGCCTGCAGGACTTCAACTC